CAAAATCCCGTAGATTAAAAATTGCCAGACTGACTTCCGAACAGTGGTGCCGACAATTCCTTTGTGAGAGTAACACAGAACAGTAGTATTAGTTAGACACCTTCCTGAGACAACCTCATTCTCTTCAGAGCACCAGCTGGGCTCTACTCTCTACCTTGCTACTTTCCCTTTCAAGCACGTATCTGAAATAGGGCCAGGTTATTTACATTGCTCCTAATGCTTGACCTGAATCAGCTATGCTCACCTGAGCCCTATAGTATGTGCCAGGCTATGTCAATATTTATGCTTTTACTAACTAATAATTAACTCTGGCTACGTAACTACAAAATTGCTAGTATTGCCATTAACACATATATAAATTCCATTAAGTGCCATACCGGTGTTATATCCAAGTAAAGCATATAGAACAAGCCGTTCACCAGAAATGCGGTCCTACAACCACACTGCTACCAAAAGTATGAAAACCCACGTATATGAACATCCTTAATACTGGAAAAAACATTTCTAAGCCTGTATTTTAAAAAAATTGTCCTAGTGCCTTTTGGCTTGCTGCTTGCAGAAACTGATCTTATCTTTTGTGCTACTTTCTAGTAAAATCACTGTTTAGAAGAGGCCATTGGGTAAAACCTGTTCCAAAGGAGCAGAAGCTGCTCACAAACTTGAGGAAAGTACCTCATCCAGCTGGACCCTAATGTTTCTAGAATAAGTAAAACATGTACATCACACAAGCTCTTAGGGCTGCAGAGAAGCTTAATCTTTTTTGTTCTGTCTGTAAGGCTCCATGAAATTTCTCCTTCCCCAAAAAGCTAACCACAAAAACTCTAATGCTCTGTTTTTGATAATGAAACAATTTCAATGCCAAGGCACGGTACCCCTAGAAAACTTAGCTTCATTTACCAGAGACACAGTTCCACTTTAATGTTCACTTTAAATGAGCTTACAGACTCCTCAATACTCTAAAAGCAAGATAGTTTCACCAATACTCTAAATATACGAATTTTTTTTTTTAAAAGAAGAGAGAAATGGGAGACTCTTACAAAGTAAGACTTGTATGCTAGACATACAAACCAGAAATAATCCATTTACTCCCCCTTGACCTTCCTTGGCTAGACTAACTCAATTAGTTTTCCTAAACCACCACACGTACTTGCCAAGACTAAGTATTTGTGTTTAATCATTCAGAAAGTGAAAGATTATGTACTGTAATGCAACACTCTTTACGGAAACCTCTAGTTGAGCAACAGTTCCAGAAAAAAATTGTGAAATGAAGTAAAAAGCTGTCCAGAACACCATGCTTCTACTCAGTTAATAATAATAAAAAAAACTTCAGAACTAACCACCAAGTCAAGACCTCATTTTTAGCAAATCGACATTCTCAGAGGCGGCACGTTTTTAAATGCAGCCCGTTTGAAATTGCCCCAGAATAACAACCATCGCTAGGAAGTTATTAAATATTATCATCGCTGGCCTGCAGCTTATACTACATGCAGACATCATGACGGAACAAAGATAAAAACGTCATAAAATTTTTACCATCATGTCCAGTGCGTTGCATTAATCCAGGTATACAGTAACCCAGGCTGTGGCAGCCAAAGGGAAAGTCGCAATAAAAACACGCACGCACAAGGCTGAACACTACCTGTACAATTCCAGCTGACGCAGCGCACACTGCATGGAAAAACTGCACATTTATTTGGGGAACACACACCTCGGCCGGTTTCTCCCCGAGCAGCTCTCCAAGCCCGCCAGCACGCTCCTGCCCTGCCTTTGTAACATGGCAGGTCAGCAGGGAGAGCTCAGTCAAGGAGCAGGCAGTTCTCCGCCCTCAGGAACGCCTGCCTCCGCGGCCCCG